TAATTATATTGGAAACACGACGTTAATTATCATTATTATAGAATTAGAATAATAATACATTAAATGAACGACAATTTTTTTTTTTTTTTTTTTTTTCAAACAATAACGTAATAATTAAAAAAAATGTTAGAGAAACGATATTTGTAACATTTTTCGAGTCGATAAAAAAAAACCATACAATCCCATACATTATAGTTTTATGTACTCGTATATTTATATATATATTATTATATTGTTGCGACTGTAGTGTTGATTGTCTTCTATAGGAAGAAAAAAAATAATGAATTGGCAGAGTAAGTAAGTATAATAGTATTTTATAGTCGATCTGAAGTGCGTAAAAAAAAAAAAAAAAAAAAACCGATCATTTTCAACAATAATATTTAAAATAGCTGATATTCTTTTTATTGTTATTGTTTTATCATAAAGGATGCAAAATTATTGCTGCGGAACTTGGTCAACTCGGAGTTGAATAGACCGGCGAAAATTCCGACATATTCGAAAATTTGAGTTTCAACGAGTTTTCACTCCGTTGTAATTCTATTCGTTATTAACGCGTCTCGTTGAAATGTGTAAGCGAATGACTAGTGGTATTGTCGAGTAGTACTTCCAGCAGTATTAAACTGTATCGGTAACAATAGCATTAACAATCGTTATTTGCGATAGTAAATTTACACATCCCGATCTTGATTAAAAAAAAAAAAAAAAAAAAAATGGAACTTTGAGATATCCACTACATTTTCGACATTTTGTTTTAATTTTTTACATTGTTTGAACGGGAAATTCTAGGAAGCGTTAGAGTATTTTTCGATTACCGCGGGTTAAACGACTCCGGGTTAAACAAGTCCGGCCATACGGGTATAATTATACGTGTTTAAAATTTTATTAATTAACGGATATTATTAAATTATAACGCATGTAAATGTGTGTGTTTTTGTTACGTATCGTGTTCGAGTGTACTCACCCGTACATCAATGTACGTTATACGGATTCGATTTATAAAATATTTTTAAATTTAATTTCAACGACGCAACACTATTATCGCGTATTACATCGCATCGCGAGTATTTTCGATATTATATTATTATTATTATTATTATTTGCTTAACGATTTAGAAAACAGCGCCTAGATGAGCGGGACCGTAATTATGATTTATAATAATGACGATGAGACGAATAAAATATTGTTTTTGGTCGTTTCGGGACGTGAGCACATCACCGCGGGACCCGGGTGGTTACGGTCCTTCCCCGCCCCTCCGCCGCGCCTCAGGGGACCTTTACTCCGCGAAAAAACGGTTAGGCACGCAAATCATTTCGTACGCCTGGACCGCGGAACGGTGTGCGAACTGGGCGCCGGGAGGCTAGCCGCAACCGAGTACTACCGGATGTTTTCGGCGCGCCGAAAATGCCGCCGCGGACGACGGAATGGCCGGGACACGCACGGAGACAGAGCGCGACGGGACCGGCAATAACGGCTGTATTCGAAAATGGCCAGACGGAAAAGCCGCCGTCCGCGAGAACTCGCTTGAAACGGGAGGATTTTGTTGTCGGGAGCGCATACGCGAGCGCGGGGACCCGGAGCACAGACACGGCTGGAGGTGCCGGTCTCGAAAACAAGAGATGATAATATTTCACGGCGTCGTGCTATTGTCGTTCGGAATTGTGGCCCGCGATACGGCCGTATGGTTTACCGGATAACCGATCGGTTGATCGGCAATAATATCAAAGCGAACAACGTTGGAAATGTCGGCCAGCCAAAAGTGACGGAGAACTTTAGTACGCGGCGCATGTCGAGTGGCGACGTGCCCATTTCAAAGGGTCGCGCGCGTAACTGTTTCGAGTCACGACTCGGCGTGATGTTTTACACGTTGTTACTGTCGGGCGTGTCGGAGGGGAAGAGAAAGAACCGACCCCGTCGTCCCCACCATTGCAGTATCGTTATTATCAAATCATTATTATTTCGAATCACAATCTACAGTCTCTATATTATAATATATTGTTACGGGATCGGGTAAATATGTTATTTTTGTTTGTTATTATATTAATTATTATTCTTAGGCATATAATATGTATTTTTTTTTATAATTTTTTTTTTTTTTGTAATTTTTCACAATATGTAATTGTATTTTTTTTAAGATTATATAGGTTTATCGACGTTTTATAATGTATGTAGTAAGTCGGAGCGTTCTGCGCGCTTTTAAGTCCAAAAACGAATAAAAAGTAGGAATAATTTATATTATTAGACGAAATGCGAATAATGATTAAAAAAAAAAAAATTCCCAACTAGATATACTTATAATAATAATAATATTAATATTAATCAAGACAATTTTTTTTTTCTCCTTATATTTTATTCTTATATATAATTTTAAGTATTCGAAAACCTGCTTTACTTATACAAATTAAAATCGTTCTATTTGTCTCTAATTTATTTTATTATTTTTTTTTTTTTGTTCATAATTTTCTCCCTCTTAATATTATATAATATAATACAAATACAATATATACTGCGAAGGATGTAGCTAAATATTATATTATTTAATTAATTTATTATTATAAAAAAGAAAGAAATGTTTTAGAACAATAATTATAAATTATGGTATGTAATAATTATTAATAAATAATATTCCCGCGCGTGAGGAGTTTAGACTTTTTAGGATTTTTTTTTTTTTTTTTTTTTTTTTTTTTTTGTTTTTCGTCGAACTAATAATATACGACACGTTACCGTGTCGTCTAAGAACAACCGCCATGGCCGATAACGGTTTTTCAAATTTTCCGGGAGAACAGTGGACCTGCCATATTACGGTATTGTCGTCGCAACGATCTAAGACGGGCCATCTCGATGACATAATTATGATTTTTTCACAGCGAATCTGGCGGTTAAACCGCGAAAGTACCAGTTAGGCCACAGACGTATGTAAAAGGCGAATGTGTTCATATTGTTATAAAATCAAATTCGCATTCGTCCAGATTGGCCATGACGGTTGGCGACGGATACGCATGCATATGTATTATTATTACAGTTTAAGTCTCTTACAATTAGAGTTTTGTCTCGTTTTATTTTTTTTTATCTTCTATTATTTCGACTCATCGAAAAAAACGCTTAAAAAATATTTTTTTTTTTTCCTAATATATACGTACTTACATAAATTGTTCATTATAATAATATAATGTGTATTATTAACTTTACTATAATAATAATAATATAATATCATGTCTACAGTAATAATATAAAATCAATTATAATTATGTTAACAAGATTCAATAACAACGTACAAATAACAAAGTATTAGGTATTTACACGGTTTTTTATTTTAATTTTTTTTTTTTTAAATATAAAAACTTTTTTTATAATCGTAATCGGTTATTTTCTTCTTTAATACGATTTTTATTTTTATAAAATAGTTTATTATCATTTTTTGTTCAAGTAAACAATATTAATTTTAATTAATGTATTATAATATGTATAGCAACTCTATAAACAAACGTATATAGTTTATAAATTATTTGTAATTTCAATTTACAATAATAAATTTTAACTTTCTTTGTTTTTATTTCATTATATTTTATCAAAGCAATAATTAATTGAGCTGAATTATTTATTATTATTTAACGTTTTTGTTCGTTATAACGATCATCAATTATCATTATTATTATTACATGGAATATTAATATTAATTTTTCATTATACCTTTATTGTATCTTAATTTTAATTCATTATAAACCGAAGAAAATCATTTATATTCCAAATGGCTATAATCTATAAATGTAATACGATATACCTAAATACAATTTAAATCTATACATAATATTTAATATTATCTTAAACTTTATTTTAGTATTTTTTACCTACGCTTTAGATTACCTATGTATCATTATTATTTATTATTTTTTTTTTTCTTCATATGTTTTCGATGTTGTTATGTTTGACATTTATTATTATTATGATTATTTTTTTTTGTTGAACCGGAAGACGACTCAAGATTTTGTCATTTAATGTTTTCGACAATTTTTTTTCTAAATACAATTTTTTTTTTTTTTTTCCTATTACATAGTCGTAAATTTCTAATCGTAATAACATTATAATTATTATTATATGGAAGAAAATAACTCGATAAAATAACATCGATATACACGTATAACGGTATATTATACATAGTAACAACAACAACAACGCAAACAATACAGTGTCGCGTCGGCGGTATTGTATATCATCAGCATTGTAAAACATCTATAACTATATGATGTAGGCGACGGCACAGACCCGGGAACGAGATCGTGAAAATCGCGAACACGCGACGCGGGCGGCGCTCGCGGTCTCGCCGAACACCGCGCGTTGCACGACAACGACGCGGGAGTGCGCGCGCGGACAATTGTTCTTGTATAAGCGCCGTGCGCTCCCCGGACGCTCGCAAGCGTCCACATCGAACGGCGAACGCGGCGGGATATTATTACGAATACGGTCGTACGCGCTCTGCGGATGTAATGCGCGATTCGACGGCGTTGCGTTACAGGCCGACGGGGGCGATCGCGAATCGTCGACCAACGAGCCGCCTGTATTTTTTTTTTTTTTTTTTGTTTACGCCGCCGAATCCGCGCGGTTTCCGAATATTTTGTCGGTGATTTCAACGTTTTCGACCCGTAATCTCGCACACAGCGTTTTACCGTTCCCGACGTGTTCGGTTTCGTTTCCGGGAGCGATGTTGTTTTTATATGGATTAATTGTGATAAAACACGAACCCGTACGATTGTCACAGTGTGAAACGTGCGCGTAAAAACAAAACAAAAAAAAAAAAAAAATGAAAAAAAATGAGTTTTTTTTTTTTTACCACCTAGTACCTACGTCTAAACACGTCTAAAAAGTTACAAATACAATGAAAATACGTTTGCATATACGAATTTGTATGAATAGTATTATGAATTAGTTTTGCGTAAGAATTACTTTTCGTAAGCAATAATTATTGATAGGACGTCGCACGACGTATAGAGCGAATTAGTATAGATTTTTACCACGCGGACAATATCGCGGTATAACATTATTGTTATAATTTTAAAAAAAAGTCGCTTGTATTATAAGTTAAAGTTTAAAAAAAAAAAAAAAAAAAAAAAATCATTCGACTATATTTTATTGTTTATACGTATATAATAGTGTTTAACGGTTATACTATTATTATTAAAAAAATATTCGTGTGATTTTTGAATATTTTTCTTTTGAATTTGAATTTGAGCAAGAGGACATCGCCGCCGCCGCCGCCGCCGCCGTTGGATATCACGGTGACTGACGATTTAAATTTTTTTAGTTTTTCGGCACTCTCGGTGATTTATCATGTAATCGGTCTAGACGTAAGTCCTACAATGAACGTGCGTGAGACGTTTCATCCGCTATTTAATTTAATTGTAACGTATTGCGAACGGACGCATTTGACACTGCGGTTTGACAGAAACACGGAGAGCAAACAATCGTTTACGCGGAAACGCCCGTCGCGAGCGATTCGTCGCGTTTGTTCGCGAGCATATCAGAGTATTTTTCTTTTACCGAATAGATTAAGATTTAGGCGGATGGACAAAGTCGGGATGAATCGAATAGAAATCGGAATACAAGACGGAGAAACGTTTGCCCGGGACAGTGATAGACACGGGCGCAAGCGTGTTTTGCCGGTCGGAAAATTACGAGAATAGACGAATACATTTAAACGTTAAGCTCACCGATTATAACCGGATCGCGTTTCAAACGTGGGAGTGAAATATGTCCGTTGAATAATGGTAACAGTAAAGCGGAACACACCGAGAGTATCGAAACGAAATGACATAAAAAAAAAAAAATCGTACGATGATGGCTGAAACAAGGTTTTAGACAGGGTTCGGCGGGTCGGAGATCCGACGACGATTCGTGTTGTTTTGTTTTTCTTTTCACGTTATTTATCGAAACGGCGGAAATTTCCGAAAACCCTATTCATGTCGACGGGCCAGAACGAGAGGGGGCGGGGTGGGGTACATGTCCGACGGAAGTGCGCGTTAATGACGGAATAAGCACTCCGGTAACTATACAAAACATTGAGTTATCACTGAATCGATCGTCGGTTTTGCTTGGAGTTTAAACAGTATTATATGCTTAAGTGATAAATTATTACTTATGTTTTAAAACGATATATTATTATTATTAACGGTGTCACGGTATGATACACACGGGTTTTCGTTTCAACGACGGAGCCGCGACAGTTTGAGAAAAACCTGTCCCTTTCGAACGAACGAGACCCGACGGATTAGTTTGGCAGTACTGTAGCTAATTCACGCGCGTTGTCGACTGTGCCGGCACGCAAACAAAATGCGCTAGCCAGTCGTATCGCAGTGTTAAAACATGTTGTTTATCGCGTCTGTGAAAATAATTGTTTTTTTTTAAATTGTTTTATTGAAAGTTTATACCGTATTTTGAGAGAAAAAAAAAACCGTGGTCAATCTCGTCGCGGCGTTATTTGTCGGTTCCGAAAGGGACGCGGCGCCAACGTGTCGCAGACGGCGTGTTTATATTATATTGACGGGTAAAACGCAAAATTGTTATTACTGACTGTCGGGTATTATTCTACACGCACTACGGTACTACGGTTAAATCGATGGCGAAATCGATAACGGACATTGTCGCTGTGCTACGTTGCGCGGTGTTGCAATAGTTTATTTTCTATAGTTCGTAACACGGTAAAAAACGTTACACCGTTACGTCGCGGTAACAATAACAATAATAATAATAATAATAATAATAATAATAATAATAATAATAATAACAATGTGTATGGCGTTGCGGGGAAAATTTGTCGAATTTCGTTTTAGTAATTTTCGTAAAATACCGGATTACCGTGAACACCGTTATCGTTTCGGCTTAAGAGTAGGTACACGTTAAACAATAATAATAACGTTAATAACAATAACGACGTAACATAGTTATTGTTGTAGAAATCTATCGGGACGACCCGGCCGCAGACGGGCGACAATATCTGCCCGAGCGTACCGTCGCCGGACGGCGCGCTACGCTGGCCCGCGTCCCGTTCGTCGAACGCGATACATACTTCGGCAGTGGCGGCGGCGGCGTCCGGATCCGAGGCCGGTTCCGCGGCGGCGGGCGGGCGGCCCTCCGATCACGTGACGATCACGTGCGGGGCGGACATGAGTACCGCTATGGTGGCGGCCACCGTGAAGAAGGTGAATATGTACAGGCACATGCGGTCGACCACCATGGCCGCGAACTTCCAGTCGTTGGTGATCTCCTCGTCCTCTTCGTCCTTGCGCAGCTTGTCCGTGATCACCCGGAGCTCTTTGAGGATGAGCGACAGCTCCCGGTGCGGTCCCAGACAGGAGGCCGCGGACATCGGGGGCGCGTTGCCGCCCCCGCCACCGCCGCCGCCGCCGCCTCCGCCGCCCATCATCATTGACGCGTGCTGCTGTTCGATCATGACGTGCTCGGGCATGGGCGCCACCTGGCTCCGGGCGCCCGGGTAGCTCCGGGTGGACGACCGCAGGTCGTCGTCCAGGTCCAGCACGTTGGCCAACAGGCTCCTGGACGACTTGGCCCGGAACTCCAGGTCGGGCAGGTGGTGGATGGATGACGCGGCGGTCTTGCTCTTTTCCGCCCGGTTGTTTTCAGGCTGATCGTCCCGGTTGGGCCGGCTCATGCACAGCAAGCACGGCATCCACACCAGGAACAAGCGTTTCATCTGTACGAAAAAAGAACGCGCGCGCGCGCGCGCGCCAATATGTAAATACGTCTTTGTGATTGATTTGCTGCGGTATAGGCGGTTAGTGCGTATGCGAGTCACGGGAACATTAAGTCTGTCAGAAACAGTGGGAGAGACAATGGAACAGTAAAAACGAGGGCCGCCGTCGTGGGAAGTGTCGCTAAAAGGTGATTTCCCGTCTATACGTAGACCGTTGTCGACCCCCGAAAATCCAAACGATCGTCTCTACCGACACGACGAATTGTCGAAAAACGTTTGCACGCATACAGATTAAATAAGTGCCCGGTAAATGGCCACCCAGATCCCCGAGATCTAATCGACGCAATTGTCGAACGCGGGTAAAATGACTATGAGGATGTCGTTGATGATGGGGCGACTACTTGTCAAAGGGATCTAAATAGCGTCTGGATTTGCGCGGGTCAATCAGTGTTTAGTCCACTCGTTAATTAGATCTTGTCCGTGTCGTTCAGACCTTGGGTGCGATAGGAAATCTAGGTGGCCGTTCGCTCCTGCATTCTTGTCTCGAAATTCCCCTCCCTCCCCGAAAAAAAAAAATTTTTTTTTTAGCCGAAACGAATTGTCTTCAATATTTATAATGAGTATAAAATATATTTAACCGTTTAACGGTATAAGAGTATAAAATTTACGATGATCAATCTACTTTTAGCTGTGAATCCAGTGTGTTGGATTCTATTACACTGGTTTATTTAAGCAAATTTAAGCAACTGACCGTTCTGAAATGTTGAATTGTCCGCGTTTTCCACTCCCTTATACTTGAGGGCGAAACCGTTATCTAATGTTATTTACATGATATGATGTCCTTTGTGATTCGATTAACACTTTATTTATATTTTCGTGAGTAATTTTGATTTTATCTAATTATCAGCGCTGACAGTCGGAAACCTCGAGATGATTGCTGTTCAATGGCAAATGTAGGAATGTAGGAGGGGTATCTCGGGAGTCTGGACAAGCCCTCCCCAGACACTGATATAATTTTTATAAATTGTCATCTAAAAAAGGGACATCTATCAATATCATATGATTTTTGAACACGCCCCCAGAAAAAATGTTGAAAAGCCATCACTGTTGTTACAAATTGACTAGGTACTCAACCCTAAAAAAAAAAAAAAAAAGCGCACAAACTCTTATATCTATTGCGTTCTAAATCTTGTGTTTTACGGAGTTACTATTTTTAAAGGCGAAATCATATTAAAAAAAAAAATAAAAACTTTACATCAGCATTTTGCTGTCGGCAGCACACATGGCGACGAGTTAAAAGGCGGTCGCGGTTTCGACCGCCGGTAATAAGGGCGAACAAAAAACGGGTACAATGTGACGTTTCGCGGCGCCGCTTATTGTCTCCAAAACCTCCCGAAAAGAAAATCCCAAAATGAAAAGTCAACGCTTTCCGAGGCGGGTAAACGACTAATGAGCGCCTTCCGTCCGATCGATCGCCACCCTCCCCTCCCTCCTTCTCCTCCATTCCACCCCCCCCCGCCGTATAAATGTCGAACGGAACTGCGCGCGCGGTACCGCCGAGCACGGGTTTATCGACGAGACGCCCTTTCCGGTTAAACACGAGCGACAAAGGACCAGAGCGGTCTCGGCGGCGATGGCCTTTCCGACGGTTTAACGCCGTCTGCGCGCGTCGCCGCGGCGACGCGCGCAGACGACCGTGGCGATTAAATATTCGCCGCGCTTCCGGGGCAACGAGCGCTTGAACCGAACCGACGCGAGCGTTCCGGAATCCGTAAAAAACCGGCGGCGGCGCGCGCACCACGATTCGCCACGTTAAGCGGACCGAGCCGGCGTTACCGAAACGAACCGGGTCCGAAAATCGCACAGTAATTTTTTGTTTCGCGCGCTAAAGGCCCCCGCGCTAAACGCGGGTCGGTGCGTACGTATGTGCGGGCCCGGTAGATTCCACGGATTTACTCGTCGGCGACTGTTGCGGTTTACAACGACACCGTTAAGGGCGTCCGAACGCGTATTCCGTTCGCGAGTTTCGGACCCGTATAAATGGCGAGACTGTTCGAACGGTTATCGCCCGTCCGATTTAAATTTTTTTTTATAATTAGCGTACGCACGAATTCGCAGACAAATCGTCGGTCTATAGGTTTTAAATGTACGAGAATGTTGTTTTTCGGTTTTGGAGACCTCTTAAAGGGACATCCGGTTTTCGGAAATTCCGTGAAATAATTTGCGTTTATCGTGGATATACGAAATTTTAAATCGAAAAATCCGCTTCCTGAACATTACCCAGTTAGGTTTTCAACAAATTCGTACATTTGAAAAGTATGTTTAACCGGCCGGTATATTATCGGATACGTATTTTATTATCATGGCGGTCATTAAAAAGTAAAAAGGGTTTGTTGTAAGTAAACAATTAGGTTAAAAAATTAAATAAACTATTTGATTCGGAAATTCCCCTCCCCTTCGATTTTCGCCGTTGTATCTGTGTACAAACAGAATGATTTTTAAAAATGTTCACTCTTTTTTTTTTTTGTAATTAAATTACGCATAAATCAAAATTCTGACGTTTGGAATATTATGTGTAGTAAAAGACGATATTTTCTAATAATTCGATTTTTTACAACATTACGCATACAAATTCCATAAATCAGAATTGGGATTTATGCATAATTTAACCATAAAAACGTGGTGAGCATTCTTTCAAAACCCCCTTGTATGTAGATAATAACGTTTATTTTGTTTCATATACTTATGCAGAGTTTCACGAAATTCATATAAAACCTATAAATGGCCGTCGGTCTGTGAAATTAAAAACCGTTCCGGATAATGGGCAAATGTTGTCAAACACAGAGGTGACAAGTTGTTGAACTGACTCCATTTCTTTAAAACTCGCAGAGGCGTTCAAAATATTCCTATCATCTTTTAATACACGAATACAAATAAAATAATTTGGTAATGTTTATGCCGTTTATAATAATATTCCAAAGTAAGTTGTTATAACCATTGATGGCATATTATACACGGTTAGGACGTTTTTTTTTTCTATTGAAATAATAAATGCACTTTCATGAAACGTAATCAGTTCAATAATTATAATCGTTTCTGTTGGTTAATCAAACCGGTAGATTATCAAACCGACAGCTTACAGAATTGTCCATACGGAACCTGGCATTAATATTTGAAAAATGCAATAACCGTTAAATATTCTTTTAGTCATTGGAGCACTTTCGCTCACGGTCTTATATTATTTACGAGCATACGTTTAAATCCGAATTACGCGTATACCCACGGGAGAATGTTACACGAACGGTCTCGTCGTTTTAGTTTTATTGACCTACAGTGTTATTTGTCATCGATATCGCCATTTTCCGAGTTTCCAAACCCGGGTGGATGCAATAAAGTAAAATATGAAATGTCGAACGGCGTTTCAGATAGGCAATTTCGTTGCACGGACGTTCGAGGAAATAGTTCCGTTGCCTAATTTTACGGCACGCTGCCAACGATTTTACAACAAACCGCCGGGTAAACATTATGATATCCGTTGCGTTAATATAGACACCGACAATGAATATTATTATTATTTCCGAAGACTTCGAGCCTGTTCCCGCTGTCGTTGTACTTCCACAATAGTATTACATTTGGCCTCCATCGCGCTCTCCGTTTTAAAGTTATTCGTAAATTTTAATAATAACATCTCGACCCAATTCAACTCTGAGTACGAACACAACGCGGGCATTTAAAACAATATCGAACCATACAGATGCGATTTTTCTGTTATTTCTCCGCCCTCCTATGTGTCAAATGCAATACGAAAACGCGACCGCGTTCGCGTTTTGCGGGCCACGGGCAGAAAGATGGGCCGGAACGTCGAGCGTAGCTCAACACAATATTGACGTAACGTTCACACGACGTTACGTCGTCTTTATACATTTTCTAGCATTTCACAGAATCACCAGATAGATGGGCGAGCAACGACGAGTTTACGTGGGGTGGCTATGTTATGTGCCGGCGTTGTTTCGACAGCGCGATAAGATGAGACGGAACTTACATCGAGTTGCACGGGGTCGCAGGAGTGGTTTTGAAAATTAACGCGGGACGGAAGGATGGGGCAGGAGAAAACCGAGAAGGAGATACGGTCGATGAGAGCGTAATACATGAATATTGAACACATAGAAGCGGTACTTTATGGTATGATACACGCACGTACGTTTCGTTGCAACCATAATGGAGAGAGACACGACGATAACGATATTCCTCTTCGTCGGGCAAATTCCCACGGACAGAGGAAGTGATGATCGTGCAACAGGGATGCCTATGTCCTCCGCGTTGATAAATCTC